ACACTACACACACACACACACACACACACACACACACATATATATATATATATATATATATATACACAAATACAAACGGTACATTTCTAAGAGCTCAGCACCATTTTATTTCAAATAGTTTTTCTATCTTTTATTTATCTTGAACACTCTTTTGAACACGCTATTGAACACATTTTATTTATCATCGACCTTCATGCTAACAAAAGTCAAGCTTGGCAAGACCGCTAAGGTAAATATGGGAAACTACAGCACTTATTTTCCAACAATAAAATATTAAAACCAGCTTTTGCTTGTTAATGCAAATGTCACAGTAACCAGAGCAGGTTTGAATGATGGAGACTCAGTTCTTCATGAGTGACACCAGAAGAGAAGATAAGATCTTTATGGGGTCAGTGCTTCATGAGCGTAATTATATCAGAATTCTGAACCCACTGAAACCTGTTTTAACAGTTCTCTCTCTCTCTCTCTCTCTCTCTCTCTCTCTCTCTCTCTCTCTCTCTCTGGAAATGAGCCGAATCCTCCTCTAAAACACAAAGTTGATGAAGTTGCCGTGCTTGTCATTGGGAGGCCCTCAGATGAAGTTACAGTGTGTGTGTTGAGGGAGTGGGTTTATAACACTCATTATGTTTCATCCCCTCACACTGTCTCCATTTCTCTGTCTGTTCTAGACCCCAGAGAATACTGTGTAAACACAATACACGCTTCAGAGCCTAGTTCTGTGTATGTGTGTGTGTGTGTGCACGCAAGAGAGTGTAAATGTGTATTTTCTGCAAGCATGCTGTCCTAATGTAAGGTGTAATTAAGTGGTGTGAAGTATGGCAGGTTGTGGGCGGGTCTTGCAGTGCCATGACTGAAGCGGTTTGCCGGCTGGGCTGTCGTTCATGCTGCTTTGAGGCTTCCAGTGATCTGAGCTTCACTGACAGCTGCTTTGAAAAGCTCTTCTCTTTTAGGCTGTCAGTTTAGTCTAAACAAGCCTCTCTGGCTCTCTCCTGGTAACAAATTTTTTTTGTTGTTGTTTTTGTTTTGTGTCTTGCCACTTTTTTTTACTGTTGTTCTTACAGTTTGGACTTCTTACATCCAAGCAGTCATCCTTGTCTTTGACAGGAGAAGTGTGTATGTGTGTGTTTTGGCAGCCTCCTCTATGTTGCCTGATTTGACAGTAGTAATGAATAGGGAGGTAAAGATTCACTTTGCTTTTTTACCCTATGTTTAAAAAAGTTTGAACAGCAGGGATGAAATAGTTTTATTTGTTTGATGGTTTATTTATTAGTTGTGTTTTTTATTCGGGTTGGAATTCAGTTTAGTTCCATTTTGCGATTTCATTCCTATTTTGATTAAATTTTATTCTGATTCATTTGGGGATATTTCGAGGTTATCATTGCAATGTATTTGGAGGGACAGATAGTAGCTTCAATGTAGCGATAAAAATCGGAGTGAATCTGATGATTGAAATGAAAAAAAAAAAAAAGTGCAACGAACTTAGGTTTATGCGTTGGTTCTTGATTGTGAGGCTGCAGCCAATTGTAAGAAAGATGCTGGTTTTATGTGGACAAAAAAAGACTAGAGAAGTCTGGCATGCAACACCAGAAAGAAGTCTTAGTCTTTCACCAGAAGATTGAGTTTTTATTAAAGGCATGGATGAATCACTCACAAGAAGATAAATAACATGCATATAAAAAAAAAGAATTCCCATTTCATGCTGACTTTAATGTCCATTTTTGCTTGCATAAAGAACATGCAGTATTTTTTTTCCTGGAAATGTTGAAAATTATACAGGGCAGTGATTCAGACTTTTTCAAAAATGGTATTTCATCCAGTAATCTTTCATCCTCATTTAGTCAAGTCACAAGATCTTTTTTGTGATTTTAAAAATAATTACAGGATTGTTCAAATAAAGGTCCAAATTATTTGGAAAATATAGATTTTTTTTACACAAGCCTATTTGCCATACTTGCCAAAATGCATTAATCATTCACAAAAAGATGAATAACATGCATTTAGAAAATAAAAAATTAATTTAGAAAATAAAAAATTAATTTCCATTCATGTTGACTTTAATGTCCGTTTTTGCTTGCATAATGCATGAAGTATTTTTTCTGCTAATGTTGCTAATTATAGAGGGCAGTATTTCAGACTGATTCAAAAATGGTAATTCATCTCTTTGAACTATTCATTCAAATAACCTGGTCATACGGTTCATTTATTCAAGTCATAAAATCAAAATCTTACGATTTAAAAAAATCCTTTCACAGGGAGTTTGATTGACAGGTGATCTGACCAATCATAACACCGAATCTGCCATTTTATCAGACAAACAAACCAGACAGGAGAGTAGATTGACGTTGGTGGATTTGAACCTGAAAAATGGTGTGTATTGACGTCTTGCCGTGGCTGAAACAAGATACCTCCTGATGTTCATCTGATGTTTATTTTGCACTATAACTAGTGAAGAGGAAGAGATGATTAGTTCACGTGCCGCTTGAACTGAGGCGCTACAGCAATCTGTCACGACACAATAAAGAGCCACAAAATGGAATTTATTGTTTGAATTTCTTAAAAATGACAAAATTTGAAAGCTGAGACTTGGTTTCATATGTAAAGTAACCTTCTCTGTCAGTGTGTTGTCAGTTTCCTCTTTGATGTGTTGCGTGAGAGCGCCATGGCTTGTCGGACATACCAACAGTAACGTTGGGGGCGGGTCTTTGCAAAGGGTCAATTAATTGGAAAATTTTAATATTATTATTATTAATAATAATAATATTAATATTATTAGTCATAAAATAAGAATTTACACATTTGTAGACATAAAACACACATGCAAAGGCTCTGCTCTGGGCCTAAACCTGTTCTTGTGAGTTAACTGACAAATTCCCATCTTCTAATGTGGGTGTGTGTAATTGTGTCTTTGAGAATTCATTAACATTCCTCTCTTTTCTCACAGGTGCAGAAGTGATGGAACCCAACATTTCCGACAGCCGTGGCGAGCGCATGGACCTCCTGGTAAAGCAGGAGGAGGCCGCAGCGGGGGATGGCGGGTTTCTGTCCGGGGAACGGGATGAAGCCGTGGCCCGGGAGAGAGCGGGTTCGGTGGCCAACCTGCGAGCCGCCCTCATGAGCAAGAACAGCTTGTTGTCTCTGGGGGCAGAGCTGCTCGGAGAGGAGAACCAGCTTCTGTTCGACTACCTGCCCAAGGGAGGACACTCTCTCTCCCGTAAGTCACACTGTGGTCCGCTGCGCTCATGGAGTTTCCAATAGGGAGTCTTAGGTTCTGATAGCATCCCACTGGGATGTAGATGTGCTCCTGTTTGAATGATATATGCTGTGTGTTACATGCTATCATTGGGTGCATAAAGACTGTCCTATAGTCTCTATAAACCATAGGGTCCTGTAGGGACTTTTAGGTACTTGTATGCTGGGCTGTATGTTCTATTGAGTTTTTGTAGATCTCCTACATAAACGATGTTTCGAGAGGATCTATAGGAACTTGTATGTGGTCCTGCTAGAATGATAAAGGCTGTGCTGAGTTTTGTTACTTTATGCGTCCACAAACCTTGGAGTTTCCTAAATAGGGACTCTTAGGCTTTGGGATCTTCTGCTACCATTGAATGCTTGAAACCTCTCCTATAGGTTTCTGTATGTCTTTGTAAACCTCTGTGCCCCTGTGAAGTCTTTATGAGTAATGTAGTCTCCTACTGACTTACACAAACCCTTGTGTCGTCTATAGGCTCTGATGGAATCCTATTAGTTGACCGTGTCTTAGAGACTACGTCGGTGTGGATGACTGTGTTTGAGTGAGGAATGCATTTTCTGCATTAAGGTTATAGGTTAAAATGTATATGGGTCCTGTAATTGGTTGCCATTTCTTTAATGTTTTTCATCACTTTTAATCAAGGTCATGATTTCTCCAGTTCATTTCAGTGGTTTAAAGCAGCTTTAGATGTATTTTAGACTATTTAAAATTAACAGCCATTTCATAGCTTTAAAGCGTACATGTAGTATTTGACCTTCATGTTCCATTCAGTAATTGTGCTCTAAAATTGTCCGTCTGAAAATCAGGTTTGCAGATATTTAAAAATGTATTAATGATGGAAAGGAAATCTTTGAAACTAAGGAAAAGGACACTTTGGGAGCATAATATATATTTTTTTTTTTCGTATTTTGACTTTTTTTAAGACACTACAATGCAAGATGATTTTATATTTAATATTAACAAATTACTTATTTCGATTAATGAGATTATGTGTTATTCAACACTGGGAACACACAAGGAATATATTTGCAAAATTGCATGATGGCATATTTAGAACATGATAATACACATTCATACTGTGTTAATATCTTTTTTTTATGATGGGACAATGGAAAAAAATGATGTGAAGTCTGCAGCCGTGTTACTGCAGTTTGCGCTTAACGACTCTAGATACATGTAAAATAGTGTGTTGAATGGCTGCAGACAGAAGGCAGTGTTGAATCTGAATGTACTCAGTTGAGAAAGAACTAGAATTTCTAGACTGTAGTTTGTCATATTTAGAAGCGTCCATACATATTTATGCCCTCAACAAGTTATTTTGTTGAAGTGTGTGAGTAGTAACATTTTTGTGGTAGAATTCGTCCTCCGAAAACACCAGAGCTTTTATGAATGGCACTGAATTTCATAAAAGCTTTGGGATCGCCAAACCCAATTTTTGCCCACACTCAATCACTTTGTCAAAGTATTGAATGTGCGTGGCTCTGTGAGTGTGTTATGTTATTTTTGGCTTATTCCTTTGTGAGTTTATGTCTCCTTCTCTCCCTTTCTTTGCCTCTCTCTCTCCCTCTGTCCTGGGTTGGTAATTGTCTCTTTTGTCTGTTTAAGTTCAGTCTTCTGAATAGGAGAGGGAGGACAACTCTGAACCACTCCTGCTCTTAAAACCCTTAGGGCAGGCTCAAGAGTGTGTGTTTGCTGAACTACATTAAGTCTTAATGGCCACTCTTGAGGATGAAACACAGTGGCTGTCACTCACGCCACAGGAGCTTTTGTCTCCCAAACTCCAGCTAAAAGACGACGTAGAGGAGCATTAATCTGATCATCTTGCTAATGTATGAATCCTGCCTTCCACCAGCACTGCCAGAATGTTCCTGTGATCTTTACTTCTGGCTTAAAGTCAACATGAAACACCATTCGCAACCCATTTTACCCATTGTGGCATGACATATTTCAGAGTAATACAGGATGTTCAAGGTTTTTATCCTTTTGCGAATTGATTGGATTGTAAAAAGTGGACTTTAAATGGGAAGGTTTGTCAGTTAGGAGGTCTTGGTGACATCAGCTAAAAATTAAAGTTGTTTCAGAGGAAAGTTTACAGGGATAAGCATTTTTTTTTGGGATAACTTTAACAAATGACTCACAAATAGTTTAAAAATTAATTTGATGTCATAATTTACTAACCATCCAAACCTGAGAGACTTTCTTTCTTCAGTAAATGGAAGAAAAAAAAAGTAAACCAAAGCAACATTATTCAGAGCACAATAAAATAGTTCATACGAACCACATTGTGGTATTGGTATTCCAAGTCTTCTGAAGTCATTTGGAAGCACTGTGTGAGAAACAGACTGAATTTTTTGTAGTGTTCATTAAACATCTTGACATCTCTTTTAGCTAATCTTGGTACATTAATGAGAAAAGTAGCAATACTTCATTCATGAACAAATAATTTTTTTGAGTCAGATCTCTCAGACTCTGTTAGAGGATAGTTCACCCAAATATGAAAATGCTGTCATTAATTACTCACTCTCAAGTCGTTCCAAACCCGTAAAACCTTCGTTAATCTTCAGAACACAAATTAAGATATTTTTGATCAAATCCGAGAGCTTTCTGACCCTGCATAGACAGCAACGTAACTGACATGTTCAAGGCCCAGAAAGGTAGCAAGGACATCATTAAAATCGTCCATGTGACATCAGTGATTCAACCATAATTTTATGAAGCTATGAGAATACAAAGAAAACAAAAATAACTGCTTTAATTTTCATTTTTGGGTGAACTATCCCTTTAATCCACTTAAATTGGTCTAAATGATTCATTCATGAAATGGACAAATCAGATTTTTGAGTTCAAAACCAAATTTGGTCACTCCGAGCTAACTTAGTTTCAGACGTTGAATAAAATGCACAAGTTGTATGGATCAATTTTATGGTGTTTTACATCCCTTTCGAAGCTTGAAAGAAAAATCTGTTGGTTTGAAACTACATTAAAGAAAGTAAATAATGAAACATTTTCATTTTTGGGTGAAGTATCCCTGTAAGACCAGTATATTAAAAATATAAACCGATTTGTTATTTCAGGTTTATTTTATTGGAGAGATGAAAATCCATTTTTTAACATCTCAAACATGAAGAGACTTGTATTGAAGTCAGCACACACACACACACACACACACACACACACACACACACACACACACACACACACACACACACACACACACACACACACACACACACACACTTGTATTGAAGTCAGCACACACACACACACACACACACACACACACACACACAAACAAACCACACAGGCTCTCGTTAATATGTAACCGATCAACCGATGATAGTTTGGCGTTCTGCGCCCCTCTAAAACAAACAGCACTCGTTGAACCGCACCGTGCCACTCTGACGAATCACTAGTCGTCCTCCTCTCCCAAACTTCAAAGTAGAAGTTGAAGTAGAAGTTGTTGAAGTCTCTGGGAAAGGAATTGATTTGATTGAGCCGAGCGGATCACGGCAGGTCCCCTTGCGTCCTGCAGGATGCTGTGATTAACCCAGATAGTGTGTTATTGTACTGGGTCAGGTTTGGTGGTGTGATTTGCTTTAGGTGTGTGTCTGTCTTCTGCGCCACTGCCGGAGTCTCAGGGGAAGTGAGTGTGTGTGTGTGTGTGTGGTTTCATGTGTATGGATATACTAATTTGCACTTATTACAGTTGTTCCAAAGAAAGAACCATCTACAGTACATACTTGATGTATATTCCAAACCACAGTGTGAATATCAAATGATACAGTTAATATTACAACAATAATGCAATCACAATACTATAATGCAATACAATACATAACTTGTACAATACTGCACATGGGCTGGTATACATATAATATATAGAGAACAAAGTATGTTTGTGAATATACATATACAGTATGAATACTGTATTCTGTAACACTGAATTTGACCTTACTCATATTTGTAGATGCAAGATCACAAGTTACATGTTAAATGAAGTTAAAAGTTTGGACATACTTGTCTGAATTTGCCTCACAAAAATGCTTAGGGCCAGATTTACTAAACAGGGCAAATTAGCACGAGAGCGCAATTCCGAAACAGCGCTGATGGGCGTGGAAATATCTGCGGGTAATTTACTGACAACGCGCAAATTAAAGAACACAGATGCAACATCTCATTTACATATCGACCAAATTAGCATAGTCGCAAATAAGCAGAGCCGATGCTCATCAGGTGCGGGTGATCTATTTATGACACAGGTGCAAAATAGTTTAAGACATGCTTTTTTGGGGTGTTAAATAATGGCGCAAATACCAGTAATTTGATGAGCGCAAACGTTAGTAAATCACGTTGCGTGATTCATTTTAATACTCTCCTCCCATAAATTTTGCGTCTGAAAGGGAAACTCCTATAAATGCATATTCAATAAGGTCAGGCACAAAAATAACTGTCCACGCCTTTTCAGCGCTAATTCGTCACTGCGCGTCTAGTAAATCCTGATAGTAGAATTTTAACGCCAAAAGATGGTTTGCGCTGGTGCACGCTGTTAGTAAATCTGGCCTATAAATTCCTGAAATGTTTTGTAGACAAATGTTAATGTTTCTGACTGTTAATTAATGTCTTTGTAAACTAATTAATTAATATAACAATAATGTATAAATATATATTCATTTTATTTTATATATGATTTTTATCAATTATATTTAAAATATTTGTTTTGGGCTTTTTTTGTCATTCCATATTTCCCATATTTCCATTTGTGCTATTTCATAGATTGATAACTGTTATTCTGTAATGTGGAAAAGAGTTATGAGTTAGTGTGTCCAAACTTTGTAGTACATGCTCACATGTATTTACAATACTTTTTGTTGTAGTATTTCTTTATCTCTTATCCTTAATCAGTTGATATACATATTTTATCAAGATATTTAGAAATAGTGACTTGCAATTTATCATGAAAAATAACAGGAAGTACTGTTTAAAATAGATAATAATAATTAAAAATTATAGATTAATTAATGAATTAATTAATTAAAGCAATGGTATTTAGTCAAGTAATGATGTTTTGTGGCATTGCATTACAATCCATTAAAACAGGACTGAATGTGTTTACATACATTTCTCATGCATACATTTAATTTATTCATTTAATTAATTTATTTTTGGCACAGGCAAATATCTAGAAAGAGGTGAATTGCAAGAGCAATATTTACAAAGAAAAACAATGTAAGTGAAAGCAACAATTGAAAGTTGTGAATAAAAAATGTAATGAGAACTACAATTCTTTAAAAAAAATGATATTGGACAAATTCAGCCCAAGCTTAGATTAGCACACTTGATTGTAAAACATTTCTGACGTATTGGCATGAACCAGAGCAAATTCAGTTTAAATTACTGTAGATGGGACATGCTGGAGTGCAATTTGGATATTAGTTAGAACCAAGTAAATTCAATTGCTTTCTAAAGTGGAATTCAAATCAATGTGCTCATAATTGTGCATCTGTTGGCAATCTGTCAGCAAAAGTGAGCTGAATTTTTGGTTATTTTTGGGCTGAATTTTCATTCAATTGGACCTGAGCATGTGCCTTCCTGGTTGGGTGTAAATGCTTCACTAATGAAGGTAAAACTGTCCTGCAGCTCGAGCTATTTGTCTGCTTCCTTTTTTTTTTTTTTTTTTTGCAGAATTCATAGGCCATTACACTTCTGGGTTCTAGACAGTTTCATGAATGCTCTGCCCATGCTACAACATGGGCTGTAGCCTGTATCCAAATATGCATATTTCCCTTCTATACAAGTTGAAAAACAATACATTAAAAGAGTATTATGTCAGAATTCACCGTATTCATAAAATAGTCTGCAAAAAGTACCCAGATGACCTACTATTTCGACAACATTCTGAAGTATGATACTTAACTATCACATGAAGCCACAGGAGAGGATTTGTATGGAGGTGTATGTAGGTCACATGACAATGACAACATGGTGAATGTAGTACGTCCAGATTAAATTCATACTACACACATTCATACTACATAGAACAGTTATTACTTTTTCAAAGTACCTACTTAGAGAGCACGTGATTTCGAAAGCAGTTCACTCAAGAAATTGGTCTAAGAAGAATGTGTCTTCCAAACCACACAAAAATATTGTTAGCCGTCAGGTATCATCATGGGAATGTAACACGAAGGTTTGTACCGGTTCCCATAGAAAAGACACCCTATGACACGGCAGCTGGTGGTTAACCTCAGTTGGCTAGGTACCATGTGGTAGTTTCTCGATTCTGGTGTATCATGAGCTGTAATAGCATAACATGATTTCCTGTATCCTCCCAGCTACTCATTGTTTCTACAATCAGATGAGCATTTTCTCCCTGTAGATTCCATTAGATTGGGAAACCAACCGTAGTACATGTTACTTTATTAAGATAATTAATAGGAGAGATGTGAAAGTTAGTTCATCTTTACGCCAAAGTCTGAGACAAAGTTTTTCAGACTTGATCTCAAACCCTGACCTGAAATCAGCCTTTAAATTTCTGTTGTAATGGACCACGGTTGGTGGTCATTAGGTCAAATGCCCGTCCTAGATCCTATCAAACCTGCACTACATTGTTTCACTTAGCCCCCGAAGAATTTCTTGAAAAGTTTTGCAACCACCATCAAAATACCTAAGTGCATTTTAGTTGGGAATTTTACAAATGAGAGAATGACAGTGGACTGATGGTTTGATGTGAACCATACATTCAGTTTCAATTACTGTTAATTGATGTAGGGGAGTTTGCAGCACGGCTACATTTACACATTGCAGACAAAAGGAAGGAGAAATGAGAGGGTGATGTGTGTTAGATGGGAGTGGACGTGTAGGAGAGGAGAATTCCAGGAATCTGTTCGTGGTTGTGCATTACTGTATCATGTGCATCTGTCCACTTAGCGCTTAACCAGCAACTCCAGCATATTCCCAACAACAGGAGTCCACAAACATTCTTGTCCAAAAAAAGACAAGATGAACATTCAGAAACACAGTGGCTTGAAAGAAGCACAGTCTCGCATATACTGTCTATTCAGATGACCTTGTATATAGTAGCGGTCTAGCATAAGTTGGAAAAATGAAATATGTTTATTATTAAATTGCAAACGTTAAATGTAAAAGAAGACATTGTGGCAGACAAGTGAATCATTGAATAAAAATACCAAACAGTGAATTTAGAAGTCTAAAGATGCAGTCACATTTACTGTTGTTCGGGAATTTTTGGAGGTGAAATCCAGTCATGTTTCAGTAATTTTGCGTGAAGGTGAATCGAATTAGGTTCAGTTGGTCATGTCGGTTCGCTGAGTTGTCCAACAGAAAGCTGCTTGCTAATGCAGACCAACATCTGCATCTATTGCGGCATGTCTTGCGGCATGAGCACCATTTCTTAGAATGCAGTGTCAAGATAAGAAGTTTGAAAGGCTTTAAAAATGCATCTTGAGGTGCAACTTGCTAAGAAAAAATTCCTTACTGCAGAATTACATAAGGCATGATTATTTTTTTCTAAATAATCACATTGAATTAACATTAAATTGACAGTTCTGATTATTATACATCAAAGCTATGTGGTTCTAAACATTAAAGACAAATCATTCCTCAAAATGTCACATTTGTCCCTCTACGTTCTATAATTGGTGTAAATATTTCACCTTTCTCTGAACCTTTGCCTCTGCTGCTCTTGGTTTCTGTCATGAAGCATGGTTACGGTCTATTTTATGTATATCCTGTATGAACTTTTGCACAGATGCTGGCAAGTAGCCTGACATGGTTTTTTAAAATAAAGAGAACGTCCGCCATCATTTAAAAGCCTCTTCTTTCCTATTTCTTTATCTCTCACTTACACACACACACACACACATGCGGCTATCCCTTACGTGTGAACGTGGGTGGATGGAGAGGACCAAAAAAACAGAGCGAGAGAGGCCAAACCCTAACCCCACTCCGGTCTCTTTATCTCTTCCCTCCTCTCCCTCTCTGGTTCTAAATGAAGGCTGTGTGTGCCCCTTGCCCCCTTCCCCTCCTCCTCCTGCTCCTCCTCCTCTCTCTCTGCTGCTGTGTGGAAGATGGCCGCTGCTCTGAGAGTAGGTGGGTGAGACTCATTTCCTGTGCTCCTCAGGGCCTCGTTGCTCCAATGGCAGCAGCAGCTCCCACCATCCAGGAGCCCTGTTTGGTAGCAAACACGGGGCATCTACATCTCCTCCGTCTACTCTTCCTCCTCTTCCTCTTCTACTGCTGCCTCCGCCATCCGTGCCACGGCCCCCAGGGGCCCTCGGTATGCCACAGTCTGGGGGCCCCCCAGACAAGCTCTATGCGGAACGGGCCCTGAAGGCCTCACCCACTGAGGTAAGTCCAACAAACACCCAATAGGCCACTTATCCTTCAGCTTTGTGTGTCTCTTGATATATAGCTCCTCTTTAAGAATCTGTCGGATTGTTGTGGATGATTTGTTGCTTTTTTGCATTGCCTGCTGTTCCTGCATGTTCTCTTTTTCTGTTAATTCATGTTTCTGCTTTTTCTTCCTTTCTGTGAGAAAAATAAAGGCCTGTGTGCAGGGATTTCCACATATTCCAAAGATTTCCACACATTTGGATCACTTGATAGTCAAAATTCACACCTGACCAGAACCAATCAAATCATTCATAACACATTTTACCATATTCCACAGAATTCTGCCAATTTTCCCTCAAAATAAGTTTACAAAAAGTTCAGGACATCTATTGTCCACTGTGCACCCTGTGCATTTGTCATTCTGATTAATATAATGATGACTTCCGCAGCTAAGGATCTTCGGATAAGAAGGGGATCCAGGTGGCAGTAGAAATCAATAGTGATGGACAATGCAGAGGGGCAGGGTGGGTTTTTGTTTTCTTGAGTGAGAGCAGGAAATTGCATTCTCCCTGTGTGTGCTGAGGTGGCATTTGGTTTCGCAGGACCTCCCCCCCAAGAAGTTGTACCATCTCTGTGGACCCACCTCCCAAACAAATACACACCTCTCCTCATGGACAATACTTAATATCCTCTTGTGTCCCAAGAGTATTTTCTTTGTCTCCACCTGTTGGATATGCTGTTGAGAAACCCAAACTGAATGAATAAAAATAATAGACAAACCAATAAAACTTTACGCAAATATGTGAACGTCAGTAAAATAAGATACATTGACTTTGCCAGACTTTTAAAGAGAATGAATTCAAGTTTTCTTACCCTACTGGTTATATATATATACACGCCTATATATAATAGAAAAATTATCAATTTACTACATAGATATGAATATATACACAAAAGCAAAATTGCTCAAGAGTAAGAGAATTTAGATTTTTCTTACCCTACTAGCAAAGACTTACATTAAAAATAGAAAGTATCTTATTATGAATATGTTTTACCATTAATTAGCAAAAAATACTAATTACAATTTTTTTTTAATTATATACATTATTTATTTTTTGCATTAAAGGCCAAGTCAACTTTTTTGCATGCTATCTTTTGCATCTCAGGTTTTGTTGCTTCAACTGTTTTGCAGCCAACTGTTTCTTTGCTTTTCTTTTTTCTTCAAGGGTCCCGTCTATCGCTTCTGTTTCTAGTGCGTATGTTTGTGTGATTTACCTTATGAACTTGCATGCCTCAGGAGTACACACCTCAATACAGACCTGTGCTCAGAAGTACACAAGTGTTGATGTGCATTTGTGTGTATTCTTACAGGAGGAAATGCAAGAAGAAGACAATAGTCCAAATAACAATGCAGGTACGCGTGGCGTCTGTGACGCCGATGGCCCGCCACATGACTGCCTGTTATTTTTCACATACATAAGCCAATATCCTGGCGTTAGTTCTCACCTCTCTCTCTCTCCCTCCCTCCCTCTCCCTCTCAGGGCTGGAGCGTGTCCAGGTTCCTGTAGAGGAAGATCAGATGGTGGAGGAGAAGCATGGAGTGTGTGTGGCGGAGGTGCAGGGCGGAGGGCCGGGCTGGCGGCAGGAGCTTGCCTGCTCTCTGTGTAAGCAACTGTTTAGCAGCCTGCTTCAACTGAGACAGCACGAATACAGCCACACGCTCTCGCTCATGGCCCTCTCGCTGAACTGCCTCGACCACCATCGCCCCCTAGTGGTCCCGTCTCCTCTCAACCCTCTGCCAGCGCGCTACCATTGCTCGCAGTGTCCCGCCAGCTTCACCCTCAAGTCCAACGCTGACCGCCATGAGAAGACCATCCACCTCAAACGGAAGCTGATGCAGTGCATGTACTGCCTCAAGCACTTCCGTGACCGAACAGACCTGAACCGCCACCTGTCGTCCGTGCATTCCAGCGAGCGCATCTACACGTGTCCCGCTTGCTCCCGAACCTTCAGCACGCAGAAAAACCTGGCTACCCATGGCAAGGTCTGCTGTCAGTCGGGAATCTCTCCCACCGAGCAGCTGTGGAACCTGCATGGCTTAAAGGAAGATGACCATATCCATATAGTCGATTGATTCTCCAAACCAGCAACATTACTTCATTACAAAGGGAATGTGATACAAACTTCAGGTCATCCCAAATCAGGCCTTCCCCAACTTTTGGCCACGGCACTGTTGACATTTCTACACTTCTTTTTACTGTACATCAGATTTGTATGTTCTTCAAATACCTAAACCGTCGGGTTTTTTTATGACTACTGCATATGGCTGCTGAGGCACAAATGCTGTGCAAAATAAAGACATTTTATGTCATTTCTCTTGTCGCATATAGAGCTGTCTGCTTTTTGTACCACGCATGATTTTATTCAAGGTTTTAGTGAAGACTGGAGAACATAGAGATCTCGGTGCATTGGATACCAATGCTTTTTCATTCTGGGTGGCTTCGCACCCCTCTCTTTACCAGCGAACTAATCTTATTATGCTTAGATGAACTCAGGCGCAGGGGTCTCTGTAACTCACCGAGTAGTGAATGCAGCTGTTAAACCTGTGCACAATGCTGCCCTCTGCAGGAGAATCTCTCTTTCTTGTATTCTACACTTGAGTGTGACAAGATGATTAGGGATGAGGAAGATTAGGCAATGTCCTAAATCTTTCAGCAAGCTACGTTGTCTTCAAATGTATGTGTGTGTGTGTGTGTGTGTGTGTGTGTGTGTGTGTGTGTGAGAGAGTGCATCAAATCATTTCAGTA